GCTGAACCTGACAGCCGTCTTTGTAGGGACCAGGGTGAGTGGGAAGCAGCCGCAGCCTGCTGATCTGAAGCTGGTGTTCATCCCTGCCTGGAGGAGGACAAGTCAGGGACGGCGGGGAGGGTGGCTGGTCCTCGGGGAGGTGGGAGTCTGGGACCAGGGAGGGAGAGTCCCAGGAGCGAGGCCCTGGGAGGCCTCTCTGGCCCGAAGCCCAACAAAGGGTGGTCCATCCCTGTGGCATCAATCTGGAGCTGAGACAGAACATTCTCTGAGGCCTCTTGTTCACGGCAGAGGAGCTGACTGACTCAGTTTCTGAGGGAGCCGAGAGGTGCTGGGCTGGCCTCCTGGAGGGAGTAGGAGGCTTTTCTGCTGCAGGGGCCAGAGTCCCTCTTCGTCCTTCCACTGTCTCAAGTTGGGAGACCCATGGCCTCTGCAGGGAGAGTGCCCCACCTGCAGAGGAGGGTGGGGCCGGATCGCACTGGAGGGGGTGGGGCTTTGGCCCAGGGTTTAGGCTGTGGCCCTGGGAGGCCAGTGGGGACTTCCAACAGGAGAGTGACCTGAATGACGACTCCTTTTCTCAGCAATATCCTGGTAACCATGAAAAGCGGACTGGTGGGGCTGATGTGGAAGTGCAGGAGCCCCCAGGTCACCAAGCAGGGATGGAGAGGAGGGAGGCCCCGCCCCACGTAGAGGGGAGAGGGGAGGCGGGAGGAGGAGGCAGGCTGCTGGTTGCGGCTGAGCTGCTGGGAAGAGGTGCCAGTCGCTGGCTCTGATGCCCAAGATGCCCGAGGCTGTGGGGCTGGAGGAATGGCCAGGGCTTTACTTAGGCACACGCTGTGTGAGGGACTTATGGGGAGGAGGGGGGCACCAAGTTCACCTGTGTCAAAACCCTGGATCAAAATTCAGGGTACCAGAGGCTCCCAAAACAGATCAGGCCACCACACAGGCAGGGAGCAAAGTGGGAAGCAGCTGAGGTGACAGAAAAGGAGGTGGGTACATCCCAATCAGTATCCTCATGGGGACACTGATGGCGCCTGGGTCAAGGGTTATTTGAAGGCTTGGGGGGAGACCAGATAAGGGGAAAGGCCGTGGCTTCCCTAGAGCAGCACTCCTCACACCTGATGGTGTCCCCTGGGAACTTGTTAAAGATGCAGCTTGAGGGCCAGCAGGTGGCACGGTAGCTAAAGGTGCTGAACTCTCACATGGGTGACTGGTTCAAGTCCCAGACCTGGTAGCTTGCTTTCTTACTTTCCTTCTCTCTCTGTGGTGAACACACGTGCCCTGTAACAAATGAAATAAAATAAATAATTTTTTTAAAATGCAGCTTAATAATGGGAAGCCAAACTGATAAGTGCCACCAGGCCACAAGCCCCTGTTGTCCTGCTCAAACTCCAGGGTCCTCCGTGGGCTGGCCCAGAGCATTGGCCTTGTGGCTGGAGTCAGAAGGCCTCTGCCAGGAGGTGGCTCCTTACCACAGAAGTCACTGTTTCACCTGGCCAGGCAGGCCACAGATCAGTAGGGAATGGCACCATGACTGACAGGCTGGACTCCGAAGCCAGCCTTGCTGAGCACTTAGGCCGTGTGGCCTTGGGAACTGCCTCCCCTCTGTCTCAGCTTCCACGTACGTCACGTAGTGCAATCTGGCCTACCGTGGTCAGTGTGTAAGGGTTTGCCGTTCTCAGAACAGAGGGACAGAGGGAGGGTGATCACCATTATCCATGGCACTGATCTCTGAGGAGTGAGGGGAGGGCGGGTCAATTCAAGTGCAGGAAGTGGGGGCTCCCCGCGGAGGGGCATCCGCTGTGGCACAGGCCACCCTCTGTCCCCGCATGATCCTCAGGCTTCTCCCTCTGCTGTCTGCCTCCATCCTAAGAGCCCAGTCCTCTCCTGCTGCAGGATGGCGATGCGTTGTCCTGCACAGAGCGGCCTGGAGCAACAGCCACTGGTTATTTCGTTGTTTTTGCAGGCCAGGAACCTAGGAGGGGTGCTTCTGGCTCAGGGTCTCTTGTGAGCTTGAAGTCGAGGTGTTGGCTGCACCGCACTCACCAAAGACCTGACTGAGGCGGGAAGCCCCGTGACCAAGGCACCCCGTGGCTGTGGGCAGGAGTCCCCTTCTCCACCATGTGGCCTATTCGTAGGGTTGCTGAGGCTGGTTTCCAAGAAAGAGTGAGAGTGTGGACCAAAAGGGAAAAGAGAGAGAGACAGACAGCAGGAGGAAGAGACAGAGAGAGGAGAAGGAGAGCAAGGGAGAGGGCTGGGGAGAGGGAACTGAAGGCTTTGGGCACGCACGCACACATGCCCGCCATGATTTTTAGGCTGCCAGGTCCTGGACTCGAGCTGTGGTTGGCCGTGTGGGAGTCCAGCACCTTAGCCACTATGCCCAGTCCTCTTTGGGGACTGCTGGTCCCAAAGCAGCAGTCTTTATAACCCAGTATCAGAAGTGCCAGCTCGCCTTTCCATCGTGTTCCGTTTGTGAGTAGCAAGTCACTAAGCCCTTCCAATGCTCAGGAGGGCAGGTCAGCCCCATTGCCCTTGCAGAGGAAGGAGGTTCAAAGAGTTTGTGGGCAGGGAACCAGCAGTTAGCGTAATGGCTATGTCGCTGGACTCCCACGTAGTCGACCGCGGTTCGCATCCCGGACCCAGTGGCTTAAAACTCACGCCGGGAGTGTGTGCGTGCATGCCCAAGATCCCAAGAGGAGAATGGAGGAGAAGGGATTGAGGCATGACCATCCCCTCTGGGGGGTGATTTCTCGCTTTCTGTCTCTATGTCTCTGTCTGTCTGGTGAGCACACGCGCCCTATAGTGAAAACCTCTCAAAAAAAAAAAAGAGTTTGTGGGCAGATTTGCAAAACGGTCAGAGTAGTGGGACCTCGGAAACCAGCAGAGTAAGTGCCTCACAACAGATTCATAACCTGCAAGTGGAGGGACTAGCAGAATGATAGGCAGAAGCTGAGGGGCGTCAATACGCATCCGGGGTTGTGCAGTTGGTAGACGCAGGGGCCGGGCATCTGACTGGCATGGCTCTCCTTTCTCAGAAATCCTCAGAGGTGACATGCAACCCAAAAGCAGTTTTGAAATAGAAGATGATGAAGGAGGATTCCACAGCCGCTCCTCCGCGAAGGAAAACAAGACACCATGTGGACAGGGAAGCTGACACCACCTCGACTCCAAGCAGAGCTGGGAATTCTCCCTGTTCCTGCCAAACGCTCCGCAGGCACCTCCTAATCCCTACAGGGATGCAGCCAAGGGCTGGACTGGGCTGGAAAGAAGTTATAAATCCTGCCTCAGAACTGCAGCCAGCATCTCCCCAACGACCAGAAAACCAGGTCAGCACCGACACAGCCAGGGGGTCAACGTGGATGCTGGGCAAACACAGCCTGTTGACGCCATCCTTTCCTGAGACCGGGGAAGGCTGGGCCTTCTCAGGGTTCTCTGGTACTGCCCCTGTCTCCTCTTAGGAATTCTTTAAGGTACCATAATCAACGAGAGAGGTTCCGAGAAATGAAGTAAGTGGCCCAGAGTCACCCAGCTGGCAGATGTGGAAGAGCCACTAATAGGAACACAGCCTGGCTCAGTGACACCCTTCCCGTGAACTAATCTCTCTGGAAGTAGCCAGCCTTTGTCCCTCCTGGCCTCATCTTCCCCAGGGAAGTGGGTTACTCTCTGGTTTGGATTTCTGCTGGTCTCCTGGGTTGAACCCTAGAAGCATGCTTCAAAACCCAGGCTTTGGGACCAGCAGTTAGTGTAATGGCTATGTCGCTGGACTCCCATATAGTCGGCCACAGTTCGAGTCCCAGACCCAGTGGCTTAAACTCATGCCGGGCGCGCATGTATGTATGCCCAAGACCCCAAGAGGAGAATGGAGGAGAAGGGATTGCGGCATGGCCATCCCCCCTGGGGGGGGAGGTTTTTCACTTTCTGTCTCTATCTCTCTCTCTGTCTTTCTGGCGAGTGCATGCACCCTATAACAAAAACCTCTCCAAAAACAGAAAAAAATAAATAAAATCCAGGCTTTGACCTCATCCTCCTACAATGGAATAACCTGTAATATTTGTGCTCAGCAATTCCAGTGTCCCCCAGGACATAAACCCAGGGTAGGCTGCTTTCAAGGTCCTTCTGTGATGGCGGGAAGTGGGACACCGGCAAACAAGACTTCATCGACCCTGGGCAGCCCTCCAGAGCCTTAGGGCGCTGGCTCTCCATGGACCCAGCCTTCTCTTGATCCTTGATTTTTGTTTTTTCTCTGCACCTGTGAAGGCTGAGCTGCACACACCGGAGTTCCATTCTGCTGCACCAGACTCATACAGTCTCAGGCCAAGTGTGAGCACACCCTAACCCTAACCCTAGCCCTAGCCTTTTCCAGGCTTTGACCTCATCCTCCTACAATGGAATAACCTGTAATATTTGTGCTCAGCAATTCCAGTGTCCCCCAGGACATAAACCCAGGGTAGGCTGCTTTCAAGGTCCTTCTGTGATGGCGGGAAGTGGGACACCGGCAAACAAGACTTCATCGACCCTGGGCAGCCCTCCAGAGCCTTAGGGCGCTGGCTCTCCATGGACCCAGCCTTCTCTTGATCCTTGATTTTTGTTTTTTCTCTGCACCTGTGAAGGCTGAGCTGCACACACCGGAGTTCCATTCTGCTGCACCAGACTCATACAGTCTCAGCCCAAGTGTGAGCACACCCTAACCCTAACCCTAGCCCTAGCCTTTTCTTAAGATTTTTCCTTCTGCTTGTGCTGAGTCAGCATTTCGAAATCGCAGGTAGCGCCATGAAGACAAAATTGTGCAAATGAGTAAATGGCATCACATTGTCAAGCTTGCACAATCCCAGCCTCCGGCCAATTCTGTATGTGTCGAGGGACTCCAGTCGGGGACAGGAGGAGGAACTGTCCCTGAGACTGAGCACTGGACGAACGCCCTTCATTTCTCCCCCTCTGAGGCAGGCACGGGAGCCACATTACACAGACCCCAAGGCTGGCTCGACTTCCTACCTCGGCCCGTCTCCACTCCGCATTTCTCTGAATTCCCTCTTTTGAAATAAGAACCTTGTTGGGGACCTTGTTAGGGGTCTCTCTCTTTGTTTGTCTCTCTCTCTCTCTCTCTCTCTCTTGTCTCACTCTGACATGGAAGAAATAAGTAAACATCAAAAAAAGAGCATTGTCCCCAATTCCTATAAGATTATCAATTTCTCTGTTATGCTTGAGGGTGGGAATTTCTTTTTTAAAGAAAGAGCATGAGGTGGCAGGGAGAGTCTTATATTTGCCATTGGGGTCATTTATTTATTTATTTTCTTTTATTGGAGAGGTTTATGCTATAGGGCACGTGCACTCGCCGGACAGACAGAGAGAGACAGAGAGACAGGAAGCAAGAAATCACCCCCCGGGGGGGATGGTCACGCCACAATCCCTTCTCCTCCATTCTCCTCTTGGGATCTTGGGCACACACACACACACACACACACCTGGCGTGAGTTTAAGCCACTGGGTCCGGGACTCACTCGAACCACAGGCGACTATGTGGGAGTCTAGCGACATAGCCGTTACGCTAACTGCTGGTCCCTACCATTGGAGTCATTTAATAGCTAGAGATTCTCAGGAAACGCACATGACCAGATGTTGAAAGTTTTTGATAAGTAGCCCCCCACCCCCAGAAGTTGACACAGATCAAACCTTGATAATAAAACTTCAGATGAAAGAAAGCACAGAGATTTTTCTCAACGTAGTCTGAGACAGGAGGTAAGCAAAGGCCACCAGTCCTGGCAGTGTCAAAATATTGATCATCTGGTGGGTGTTTTGCCTATGGAATGTTCAGTTCCTACTCTGGCCCCTCCCAGAGTGGACTCTGATGAGACTAAACGAACAAAGAGCAATCTGACAAGCTGCCAGAGGGCTAGGAGGATAGGGAGGTGAGTGGGAGAGAAGCAGCAGAAGCTTTAGTGGGATCAAGAGGACACGGGGGAGTGTTAGCTCAGGAAGACAAGTGCCCAGATCACCCAGGCTGACTGTGTTCCTTCCTCCTACTCTGAGTTCTCAGGAAGCTGTAGAGTGTGCTGAGAATGTGGTGCCTGAGATAAGGAGGAACCATTGTGAGCAACCCAGCCTTTGACCTCATCCCCTCCACCACGGAAGAGCCTGCGGTACTTGTGCTCAGCGGTACCCGCATCCCCCAGGTCATGAACCCAGGGTAGAAAGCTTTCGAGGCCCCTCAGCTGTGGTGAATGCCCACAAGCATTCCCGGCAGAACTCGCAGAGGGGAGAGAAGCCTCTTCATTCCCATTCGGTGGAGGCTGGACTAGTCCAGTTTGGTTTGGAAATCCCAGCTCTCTCGAAGCTGGAGACTGTGAGGATGTCTGGGTGCCCTGGGAGCAGGATCATCAGTCATACCCAGACTTCCTTCTCGTGGTAACAGGGCTGCAATGTTGTAGCTGGCACATCGCTACCCATTGTACATCTTGTTAAAGACTGTCTCCCACATGAGAAAGAGAGGCACCCCCAGTGGGGTTTTCAGGCCCTGCTCCACCCCAGCACCCGCCCGCCCAAACCATAAGCACACATAGACTCAGGACACGAACCGAGGACCTTCCGGTGTGAGCCCAGCATCACAGAGAATCGTGTTACTGTGTGCCACCAGCTGGGCCCCAGGGGGAAATACCCACCACATTACATACCTTGGCAGAGGTGTGGCCACATCGCCAAGCAGAAGTGGAAATGGGGAACATGTGGGCTGCTCCTTTCCAAGCCATGCCTGGCCTTCCCCCATGGCCTTTCCCGGAGACTCTGAGCCACCTGAAACCAGGAAAGCAACCCCTGGGAGACAGAGCAGCTGAGAAGACAAGCCTGCTTCTTGACAAAGCGAGGCCACTTGCCAGCCTTTTCTTTGTTTAGACACAGAAAGAAACCCCAATCGAGTTTCAGCCACTGTTTCTCCAAGAGTCTGTGTCACTTAAAATACGTACTCAGGCTGCTAGAGGCTGGAAAGACTGAGGTGGGGGGAATAGAGGGAAGTTGATTAATGGAGATAAAGTGGCAGGTAGAAGGATGAATGTCTGCTGTCACAAAACACAGAGAGGGGGCTGGCATGTGGCGTGGTGGGTAA